TTAGAATTGCATGGTTGCTCTGTGTATTGATTAATATGGTGTATACTATTCCAGGTCGACATTTACGAAACACCGACCAGCTGAGAGAGTATTCCTGCTGACCTGTTTTCTGATTGACGTGTCTTCTGGTTGGTGTGTCCGATTGGCCCCAAGATATGACCTCTTTGTCCCCACAGCTGGGAGACCTTTTTGTCTCCACAGTCCGTCCCGCCCAAAGAGGGTCGATTTCGATATACCACTCGATTGAACCCTCTATTCAACGTCATGCATTAAGGAATTCTAAACGATTCACTTCACTTCGGAATTTACTTCAGACAGCAACTCATTCCTGAAAACTCTCTATATTTATGCATCTGCAGTCCCCCCCCTCACCAATCTCACCCATATGTGTTATCTTGCACCGTGCAACGCGGTCGAGATCTGCATTTTTTCTCCGCACCGTTTGCTAGCAGCTCGTTCTTACGGATTCACGGATTGGTACACAGGATTGATGCTTTTGCACAAGATTTTCGGGTTAGTTTCGTTCTTGTCGTTCAGTGTGTGTCGTTCACCTGAAGAGTACAAGTAAAAAAAACGAGTGTAGCATTGCTCTTCATGTTTTCAGCGTGCGGTACTATGTTCGCCAGCGAGAGGAGTCGCATAAATAAGTGTCTAATTGTGCTTTGAACTGGGTGTTAGAAGGAGCGTGGAAGGAAGGTTATTCCACTTGGCTACTACTCAAAATGAGGAAAAGCTTTGCCTAATGAATGCGCGTGCTCTGAGCTCGAAAAGTTTCTCACAATGTACCCACAATGTGTTTGCTGGATCGATGGTGAAAAACCTGCTTGACAAACCTTGTTCAAGCAGGGCATAATTAGGAATTAGATCCCCTCGGAGGCAACGATTCTGTAGGTGAAAGCCGTCCAGCACCGCCAGACGCTCTTTGCAGTCCACGGATTTGAGGCCGACAGCCATTCCCGTAGCGGCTCGCTGGACACGCTCAATGAGGGTAACGTTTTCGTGCGTCCTGAGTAGACGAATTGGTTGCAATATATAAGGAGTGGGCTTACGTAGGCCCCATAGAGTATTTGGAAGTCCATGCGAGTAATACGGGAGAAGGTGCGCCAAATGATCCAAGCCGATTTCCCACGATACATGGAGGAGGACAAGTTTGAGGGGAGCCAGATACACAAACCCTTTCGGCGTCTAGCCTCATGATATTTTCTGGTCCATTCTCACCAAGCATAAGCAAGGCACTCGCTGAGTCCCCTCCAAATGAAATATGGACGCACTTTTCGTCATTCAGATGAAGGTGCCAATCCAACGACCACCGCGTTGCAGCGTGTACATTCATTCGGAGGGCGCTAGCTTTGGAACTCAAAATTTCGAGTCTTCCGCAAAAAGCAGACATGGACTTGCCTGGACATCTGGAAGGTCGTCGCCGTAGACCCGAAACGGCAGTGGTCCCAGGACGAAACCTTGGGAACTCCGATAGAGACCGGTGCTGGGGAAGAGCAGGTCGAGCCTGTTCTCATTCGGAATGATCTGTCTGATAGGAACGCCACGATCCAGCGAAGGATTTTACCTTGAATCCCGCAGCACTCGAGTTTGTGGAACAGCGGGACGTGTGGGCCCCTATCAAATGCTTTTGAGAAGTCGATATGAGTCCTTCATCCTTGGTTTGGGTTAAGCTGTCCATAAACACGTGCAAGAGCGGTGTGGGAGAAATCCGTGTTGGGCTGGAGATATCAAGTTGTTGGAAGTAAGGTGATCTAGGATAGCTCGATTCAGAATGCGTTCCATCAACTTACATGGCACGCTAGTGAGGCTTATAGGCCTGTAGCTGCCAGGCGATAGTCGGTCACCAGTGTTGTAGGTTGGCATGACAATCGCTTCCTTCCAACCAGATGGAAGGCGGCCTTCGTCAAGCGACTGGCGAAACACCAGCTGTAGATGATTTGCCAGTGCGGAGGACGTTTCTTTCCGGATCATTGGATGGACCTTGTCGGGCCCCAACGCGATGAATGGGTTGATCTTGTGCAAGAGTTGACGAATGTCCTCCACCGTGAAGACCAAGTTGGTTAGATGCTGTTCGTAGTTACTCCTTGACAAATATGGATGGGACGATGGAGCTGAATATAGACCTGCATAATGTTTTCTGTAAACCTCACATATCACTGTTGGGTCACGCGTGAGTTCTCCGTTCCCGTCCTTCATGGAGAACGCGGATGGCTTGTTTCTGCGGTGATGAATTATGTATTTAAATAGCACTTTTTTTCCCCCGAGCGATGTCCTGAACAGTGGCTTGTTTTGGTATGTTCCATTGGCGGGTTTCTGATTAACAGCGGTTCCGCACTTTACAAAATGCCAGCTCATCTTCTGTGTCTCCCGTAGTCAGCTTTTTCAAATAGGCTAAGATCTCTTTTTCAGAATACGCCAAATTTTTTTGGGCAGCCTGTGGCCGGTTTTTTGGGAAGAACACCGCGTCAGCCTCTTGGACCTTCTGAACAATGGTCCTATGGAAATTTGTTTAGGACGCGCTTTGAATCTGCCGACGCTGATGAGAGTTTCCATTTCTAGCTCGCTAATACAGGTACTAATATTCCTCAAGATGCCACATGTCCGCTGAGTCAGACAAGTTTTTTCAGTACTTTGCTTGTACCCATTTATGAAAAACAAATTTTTGAGGCGAAGAAGCGCCAACAGTCAGCTTCATTCGTGTCCAAAAAGGTGTCGAAACATATTTTACAGCCACTAGGTTACACATCACACATCCGCCAGAACATACCCGCTAGCGCCGCTTAGTTTCCGCATGATAGAGTTAAATTTTTGAGAGCTGCGACTTTTTCAAGATTTCCACTTCACACATAAGAATGTTCATTCCTAATTAGTTTTTGGGCAAATTTTCTGCATGGGCGATTTTTTTTAGTGAGCGAGTCTTCAAGGTCCTCAATCATCACCGGATAGCAAAACAGTAGCCAGTGTGATAACAGCGTGAGTTGCGGTTAAACACAAATTACTCACAATGGGAAAAATTATCGTATAGTTCTTCAGGTGAAACGATTCATTGAGCTTCCTAGAAATTATATCATCCTTGTAGATGCAAAAGATGCAGAGGTTTCATACCTGTAAATAACCTTCGCCATTTTATTTGCTTAAATGGTCGAACACCCAATTGTGTGCAGGGACCTTGATAATTTCTATTCCGAGCTTTTATTGCGGAAGACGCATTCATTGTTGTCTGATTGGTTGTGCAGTGTTCGAAGAACCTGGTGCTTGCAGATGTTCGGGACCTATGAACGTTTGCCGGTAAACAGCAGAGTTCTATTAATTGTAAATGGCAAAAAATGCCAGGACGTCCGTGCTGTTGGTCATAGCGAACTGTTGATCAAGATTAACTGACGCGCATGAATAACACGTAACTAGAGATCCACGATGCCTGATCACCTGCTGACGCAAGCCAGTTTATCCTCCTTTCCGAGGACAACTTGGAGGTCCTAATCGTACGACACGAAAAGTCGAATCTTGTCGGCCGTCTTGATTAGTGCGTGTGTCCTACCGAGAAGTATATGGCTTTCATGGTGCGCAGTGTTCATTTAGCTACTGGCATCCTGAAATGAAAAGATGTAAGTTACGATATCGAAATACCACTACGAGGCAAGCGGCTGACGAACTGAGAGAAACTCCGGCCTTATAACGGGGAAACCTCAGCGGTCACAATGTCTTAGATGCTTACCCACAAAATGCCACCCTCGACGGCTGATTCGTATTGCGAGATTCCCTGTAGCCTGGTGCTTACCAACAAAAAGGTCCCCAAAAATACGAGACTTGCACGGTATGGCCAGGTCATGAACCTAAGCCAGTGCCCCCAGACCCCCACCTGGGCTGAGTTGTAGTATCCTCTACCACAGTCGACGGGCCATGTATCACAGACGTCGATGTTTGGTGAAGCAAAATTTGCCCCTGAGCAACGAACTAGTTGGTGGGTACTGTTCCCCTCCTGGGTTCCACTTCATAAAGCCTATTCCCAGCTCGCCTCAGCTGTTGAAAGTTGTCCGAAATGTTTTTGGAAAGGGTGTAAGGGGTTCACTGTATTCTGGTAGGCGGTAATCAGAGAGCAATTGTTGATGGATGAAAAAGCAACCTGGGAAACATCAACAAAAAAGTTTCCCTACTTCTTGGGACTGAGTTGCTTCTAATTATAGAGAGTAGATGAATGCGGGGAAGCCAAATGCTCTAGTAGGAAGTGCGTCTGCGTTTTTCAGAACAGGCGTAAACCAGGTAGACTCACTGGATGATTGCACCACACTCGTGAGTTATCTATCGTAGAATCACCTCACATTGTTTGTTTCAAGCTACAGTTGTGCGGCCCTGAAGTCGCGTTCACGAGAGCATCAAAAAAGGACAAAATCCACACGCTTTCACTTTACAGACAACGTTCAGAAGGTAGCCGTGGATCTCCAGTGTTTTTTACCAGTCACATCGATAAGAATTATTCATTCCATTTTACCGTATGAGCCACTCGGAGTGCTCAACCCCTTTCTTATGGCGTGTTCTAGTATGCTTGAGTGGTATACTCGGTTCTCTTGGCGAACGTCTGCATTTTCCAGATGATCGTTGGTCACATTACCAAGGAGGACCACTCTGGGTTGTGAGTGGGCGATGTACAACCGGTAAACCGTAAGATGATTGACAACCTGTGGGTCCGTACGGCGCAGGATCTGCATATCTTGTCGGAATCTGCGTGCTAGTGTTATGCAAGAAGAAATCTTTCTTTATTGCGTTGTCCAGGCGAACCATACGGTGCAATATGCGCCGATTGTTCATGGAGCGTGCTATGAAAAAAATACATAGAGGTTATATGACATGTACGTGCTTCCTGGGTGTCTTTCTAATATGAAAGTAGCACGACATGACGTCGCAGATGAACATCATTCCCTCTGTCCGCATTTGCGCCGCCAGCTTGTCCATGACAAAAGTCTTTTCTTGATGCATTTTGCTCATCATTTTTTTCACTTAACTGAACAGTTTACGCACGTAAACAAACTGCTCGTTGTCCACAAGGGTGCACATAATGGAACGCATGGTACCCATGTCACCACTGATGGAGAAAGTGTACAGGCTAGATATTAGTTGCTATAAAAATACATAATCAAAAACGACTTGTCGAGCGCGTTCTGTCGACATGGACTGCATTCAAAAGGCACCGAAACAACGACATCCACTGCTATCTGCAGCAGCATAGTTGGCTGTGGTGACCTTCCTTTGACTTCAGCGGAAGCACGTACTAAGTCTCTCAAGGTTTTGTCAGGATCAAAGGCGTAGCATCCGTCAGAATTTTTCCCATCTGAGTTTCACTTAATCAACAGAGATGGTCGACACTTCGGGCGGTGTTTGTACGTTCTTAGTGGTAAGGACCTTACCGAAATTATCACTACCAACCACCGCACTTGATACAACAGCGTTCCTTACTTAAGCAGGGACCCGCAGTTTTTTACCTTCATTCGGTTAGCCGACAACTTCCTAGAACCCTATCGTACAAAAACAAGAGCCTTACGGTTGTCTTATAGATAAAACTTGGTGACCAAGACACCGTCCCCCCGCATCCCTAGAAAAACAGAACTGGACAGCCAGTGTTTCGCGGGCTATCATTAAAAACCCATTATGCCTATAAGCTACTTTGGATTCCTCGACTTTTCATGTCTTTCAAACCACCTGCTGCATTCGTAGTACACCCATTCATAACGCAAGGTACTGTCGGAGCTTTGATTACTGGTGAAAAGACAAATACTACAGCTATCATTCATTCTCTTCATGAAGAATGAAGAGAATACAGCCCCTAATCTCTGAATAAAAGTATGTGAAGCCACTTCTGAAGACAGCATGACAGGTTCAACGTCGCATGAGCGGGAACTGCTTAGGAAGAGGATCAATTAAAACAACTCGTAAAAAATGAAGGTAAATTGGGATGATTTTTGGTTTCACCATAGATAAGATAAAATGCAACATTTGGAGTAAAAGTTGTACTTAGCTTTTAAAGGTTTTGCAGGAAAGAACATTGGGCGTCTAATTATCATACTCGCATTTGTATTATGAAATGTGTGCTCGACTAGTGAAACGCAAGTTTGGAAGCAATTGACCGGCTTTCGAGGGTGTGGTGACAATATCCCCACACTGAGTCATGCACTTAAGCGGCCCTATGTGTATCTTTGATCGACACCTGGTTTATCTGGCTTGAGGATGCTATCGGCTCCAAAGATAAATTGATTTTTCTTGACATTAGTGGCAAGGAGTGGTTGCTTGGAAGGTAAAATACATTTCAGTAATTTCATGTGGTTAGAGCGCACGGTAAGTCTCTCAATGCTGCCGCGTCTCTCCATATTGCCCAACTGTGCCATCTGCGTTATTGTGGAATGCATTTGACACAAAAACCAGGTACCAAGCGATTGTCAGCGAGGGGGTTGTGACTAATAGTGTGTCACCCACAAATGGGGGGTAAACATTATTATTATTCGTATTCAAATAAACGTGGCTACATTCAAAATGCTTGCCGCAAAATTTTTTGCCCCCTCGGATGAGACTAATGTGGTTGTACGCATGTGGTAGGAAATCTGAGATACCTGGTAACTTATTACCGTGGAATCTGGACCGGACTGAAATTTGCCTTTGTGTCAAAGTTGATACGGGGCAAGGTTCAATATTAGTGCTGGGCAATGACACTGATGAAGCTTCAATTCGACAGGATGCTTTGAACAAAGCAAAGACCATCCTCCTCACATGAACTCTCTACAACTTGCACGATAGCACATGTGAAGCCGGTTAAGATTCCCGAGCTTTCGCGCTAACGGTTGTCCTGTACGTGTAAATGATGAAGTCTGTGTGCGCAAGTATGAAATGGTTCACCTCTGCCTTCCTGCTGGGTATATGGTTAAAACCGTTTCAACGGTCCTCCTGGACTTTCGTCAGTTTCCACAAAAGAATTCCGGTTTGGTGCTTGTGAGCAAATGTTTAATCAAGTTTTATTTCCAGAAGTTCGTGTCTGCAGACAGCGTAACAAGTTTTCCACTATTCTAGCCGCTTTACCTCACCGTACCAATGATTCCCAAGATTATTGGCAGTTTAACGGCTTACATCTTGTTGCTGCTTCTATGCCTCCTAATTCGATTGGTCTTTGCGAAGGTTACTGTAACTGTGAACATCAAATGTCGAGAGTGTGATTACTGAGACTCGCTGCTGACAAGTTTTTGCGTATATTTAGGCAAGAATTTTGAAACCAGATTTTCCGTAAAGTGCATTCACCGGAAGACGTGGATTATTTTTGTACGCTTTATTGTTCAAGTCTGACTGGTGCTGCTAGAGGTAGTGACATTGTTGGTGACATACATGGCTTCATCTTAGGAATTTTTCACCGCAGCAAAGTGCGAAATAATAAGCAGCTAACCGAAAAACAGAGTAACCTACTACAAATAGGAAACATCCACGTCGAATTGTTTACACTAAGATGACAAATAACCTTCAAAATTCCATACAATCGCACAAAGGCCAAGGCGATTCTCCCAATCGACATCGCGCCAACGCTGTGTCTTCATATAGTGAGGAAATGTTTGCAGTCTATTCGCCAAACTCAGAAGACAGCTCAACAGTCAATTGACCAACAAGCGATGGCTTCACCTGTCGTACACTTAGAACATTCACTGATCATTTGTTCATTTAGAGGCCTATATAACCAAAAGCGAAATATCTAATATTCAAAATTACGAGCCAATCGAGCTGAGAACAAGCAAACCGCAAACAATAAAATTAAGCAGGTACTGATTGCAGTAATAGCTTCAGCGTTTGGCATGGGGCGCAGGCGTTAAGCCTGTTGGACATAAAATCCGAAACTAATTTGAAAGTTGCAGAAGTTGCTCAAGCTACATGGGTGGGGTAGCACTATCGTTATCATATACTGTGTTACCACCATCACTGATACACTGCCCGATGAACAAGGATCGAGGATTTTCAGAAGTTTCTAGGACTGGGCTAATCTTTTTGCTCGGCGACTTTGGTCTCTCTGAAAGACGCGATCAAGGCAAGATGTATCAAAATTCCCCTACCCTTTACGCTGGGCAATAAGATTGCCAGCGCGAGGATCTTTACCGAAAGGCAAATTAAATTGAACTGAACTGAACTGAGTCCTAGATGCAGCATGGATAACGTTTCTAGCAGGGGCATTTCAAACACTAACTGTGTAACGCAGTTGAAACTCGACTGTACTTGCATGCACGTCTATCACATGAGCTTATGTGTCTCCCCCTCTCTCTTCCCCTGTTGCAGGTACCATGGTCGAACCACCACGAGCCCCGGACAAGAAAGAGTAGCCGCTTGTACACCCCCTACTGACCTTGACCTAGCTTTTTTGTAATCCCGACTTCCGGTTTCGGTTTCGGTTGAATACACGTGTGTCGTTACCACACTTTGGTGTTCTCTTCTATCCCGCCCGACGTGTGCGCATGTGCGCTGTGTATACCGTATGAACTCATTAATACCGTCCGTATATTCTGCACATTTCAGAACCGACGTGTGCCGTCGCTGCATCCTCTCGAACATCGAATACCGCCGGCTTCCTGACGTTCCACGCTACAACTGTCCGAAATGAGATAAACGGCTGCCAAGCAAACTTGTGTTCTAATCTTGAAAACCTTCTTGCTATATCGCCGCCATGTAACCACTGGGCCGGTGGTCAACAGGCCTACTTTCTGGACCTTGTTTAACCACAGTATGTTAGTCAGTTTCTCTCGGATGGGACGATGTAATAAGGGGAAGCTTTCGAATATCTTTGGGAGCGTATCAATATCAGCGGATCTAAGGCCGGCAGCCCAGCAAATCTCTAGATATGCTGATTTCGGTGAACGCTCCCGGTGAGTCCCAGATGGGCGATATGTTTAACACTGGCCCTGCAGTTTGCCTGGGATCCCGTGGGAGTTATGCGCGGAAAGGTGAGTGAAATCATCCAAAGCGTGGTGCGTGTATTTTGAAACCGGTATACGTTGTGGAAAAGGGTAAAATATTTATTGGCAGAGCCATACGCTCAAATCTCCGTTGTTACTTGGTATCATAATGTTTGCCGGATTATTCCCCCCATGACCACAAAGGCGCTTTCGGAATTCCCTTTGAGCAATTTTTCCCATTCAGAGAGAAGTTTTGGTCCAGTCAACAGTGATTTTTAGGGACGTCTGAGCTGCGGGATTTTCAGACGAGAAACGAATAATCAGCCTTGTCGTTGAAATTAACCAAAAAGGTGTGTAGCTTCTGTTACATTCCCAAGAGCCTCGTTAGTGCAGGCGACTTAGCTCCGAAACCTCCAAGTAAATCTGAGATTGTGCAGGGCTAAAATGGTCTATCCAACAGTGGTCGCTCCTGTTTCATGTCTGAAGTGTTTCCCATCTCGACGGTGATCAGCAAGCCGAATCGCAATAGGCAGAATTTTCAGCGACAATGTTGTCTGATCTGTGGCTTTGGGTTTCAGGTTCACGAGTAAGACCTGCATCCGTGATCAGACCCGCAATGTCCCAATAGGCTACGTTATAAAATAAAGCATCAAGACTGGTTGCTTCTGGGTTGGATGAACGGCGGTTGCGGGAATTCAGCGAAGATGTCCAAAGGCAAGCGAAACGTTTGTGGCTGATCGGTCAGTGGTCAAATCTGCGTGTTTATTCATAACTGATGCAAGCCATATCACCGTTTTTGATATGGGTACGCAGTTAAAAACTGCACCCTTATCTTTCGCTAAAGAGTAGGTGGTGTGAATTTTACGTATGTAGGGTGATCCGACTTTGTAAGTCATTGTAAGATCCGGACGGTTAAGGATCTCACAGGACGATTGCGACTATTAGATTATACGCAGTTCGAAGCCAGTAGTCAATAGGAGCAGACAGACGTGGGGCAGTAGAGGATATATTGAAGACTGACAGGAACTGGTTCCACAGAAAAACCAATTAGTAAGCATCATGAATTAAGAAAACGTACAATCAGCAATGACGCAATCTGTAGGAGCGGGAAGCAGTCACTGTCACAGCACGGATTTCTGTAGGGGCAACAAGAAGTAAGTACCAAACGATGTGCAAACATACATATCGGGGCAGTCTGACAGTATGAGTTGGCCGTAACGGCGCAGGAGTCAGTACGTTCGGGATGCGAGGGACTGTCTTTCGGTCGGTGTCGACGCAGCCGCTCGTGTCGCGCGACAGGTCAGATTGCGCGGTTTCGGCCGTTTAAAACAAAGCTCAGCAGGGGCTATCTGGCAGGCGTGATGCATGGATAATACAAAATAAACAGCTGTGTTGGACGTCCGGTTGGTGTAGTCGGTAACGCGTTCGCCTGCTGTCTGCAGACTCTGGGTTCGATACCCGGTCGGCGCGCTTTTCGGTCGGAGTGGACGCTCGCGAATAGGTGTAATCCAGACGAACTTGCAAGCAATGACGGACGGGCAAATTAAGTATTGACATCAGTTACTGAGGCATAAGCAGACCCTAAGCCGGGACGAAACAAGGGGGAAAACGAGCAAAGAAACGAAACGGTGTCGTAATAAACAGATGCGAGTCACGTTACTCATAAGTAGTCGGAAAACAAGGAAAGTTACCGCTGGTCACCGTTGATTCGCAGGCGGAATCAACAGTCATCCTCAGCAGATGCATCTCTGTCGTTGGTATTCAATGGGTCTGTCATGGCCAAAGTTTTGGGACGCCGTCGGTTGGATCAACATGAACTAAAAAGACGTGAGTCAAGACACTGAGGGCAGTTATTTTTATCCCTGAGACTGTGTCTGACTCTTACTCTCTCCTAGAACCAACGTGATACGTTCTTCACTCCCCTAGGAATGAGTATGTGTTAGCCCGTCGGAAGGGCCTCCTGAGCACTCGATGATCGTTCTGAGGTTTCTCCCTGGGCAGCTGCAAGCGGCCCAAAATTTCGTCCATTCCCCTTTTGTCCTACCTGAAGAATTTAGCCTTGGGCCTTTTGGCGACTGCAACCAGGAGCCCCGATTGACACCGTGGGGTCTTTCACAAAATTGCACTCTAGGATGACCCTGAAATTTAGTTTCCTGGGTTTGTATATTTGCTGTAGCATACAAAAAGCAGCCGGGCCAACACGGAATAACGGAGCTAAATTCTCCTTTAAGAAGTAGATTTTTCCGTAAACGTTTTGTCACCTGTTCGCGCTGTTGATGTTTTCCAGAACTTTGTACAGGGCCGCAATTCAGGAATCCGAGGGACTTCTACGTGCTACAGCATTCGGGATATTTCTGGAGGCCAATTGAAACACTCTATTTATGTCATTTGTTGGATGCTGTTGCCGTTTGCTTCACTAATAACATGGCACCTGCATTAACTGTACCGGGCTATTTTCGAAGTCCTGTATGCCTTGTTTGAGAATGGCAAGTCACTGGAGAAAAATTCAACATAATGCATCGGACCAGATCCCAAGTAGTCAATTCAGTTCAGGTCATAATGTTTTGGTGCCAAAAAACATAAAAGCTGTTGATAACATTATGTCCGGTGTGTTTCTGTTGTCTCATCCTATCTTATTGTGGTAGAGGGCGGCAGGAAATAGCGGATGTGGTCGGCTATCCATTAGATTCGGGCACCCCCTGGAAATCTGCCGTCTCCCAGAAAATAAGGCGAAAGCTTACCACAGTAATAAGTCTGGCCAGTAATGGACACCAGTGCCTCAAAATACGCAAAATGACGAAACTAGAAAACAAGTGACCTGCAAAAACCTGGGACAGAAGGTAGAGGATCCACAACAAATGTTGTTGGAGGAGGGTAGCGGAACCAGGACGAATTATTGCCAGGGGTTTCACTAACTCAGGTGCCGATCTGGGCAACTAGCATTTTAGGTAAGAGCCAAGGGGTACACTGGTCGATGTACAAGCTATTCCCAAGCTCGCGTACTGCAGTGGTGATCGCTTTTCGAGCCTGTGTTGATTTTGTTTGCGAATATGACGTTGGTTCCGCTGGCGAGTATTTTGCTGTTGTTCATACACAACATTCCGCTTTTAGACAGTAAGCAATATTGATTTTGCCGTAAAGGATTGACAAATTTGCTTAGTTAGGTAAGGATTTACCTCAAAAGGCCGTAGAAGCTACGCGAACCCACCATTCATGCCTAAAAGTGATGGCTTGTTTCGTCAAAACATTCCCTTTGGGGCGTCAACGTTAACTTTGCATGCCATTTAGTATTTAAACAAAGTAGTTCACAACCAGAGGCTTGAAAATCCATAACTTTTGTTGTCGTTTGTTGAAGAAACCCGGTTTCGTGCAAAGTTAGCTTTGAAGATCTAATGAGAGAAATGTCAGTGCGGCAGGTGGCAGAGACGGTCGTTGGCTTGCTCACTGAGTTGGGTGGTTTCGTTGCTGACGTGTGTTAATACACGTGCTGCTAGCCACAGCCAATCTTCGATCACGATTGTTCGCCTGGTCGTTCGTTTCTATTGTCTTATCTGTTTTCATATTCTCCGTTTGGTTTGTAACCATGTAACCTCTCAGCTTGACTTATTGTGTTCTTGTTCACAGCTGGGCGCTTCATTGTCCCCTGTCCTTGACTGCTCTGGGTACTACCATGCAACCCCTGTTTATGTGACTCCATGAGGTATTCCGTTTCGCAGTCGCAAGGCGCTCTGGGTTCTGGTTTTAAGCCTGTAAGCAAAACTTAAGGTGTGGCTGCTATTCGATTTTCAAACGGTGTGTAAGAACCTCAGCCACTTGTGGAATAAGTGTATCTCGACTTCCGCTGTACATGACTGATAATTCTAGGCTGTGAATGACACTGAATGTAGAACTCGAATTTGGTTGAGATTCGAGTCAGCACCTCCTGAACTAAAGCTTCCACCTAAATGCTGTGGTTGAGCTTCATTGCTGGAACAGCTGCAAAAGCTGTAACAGCTGCGGGCTACAGTGGTTGAACCTTCGTTCCACATAACCGAAAGTAACAGTCAGACCGGGAGCATCGGGAACCTTTTACTACGTGTAGTCCTGCTAACATGAGGTATCGGGGTAAAGTTGTTTCGTCCAGTGAGTAGTAAGACATTTCCTTCAGACGTCCGACATATCCTCATTTATGGAGAGAGTAATGATTCCTTACCCAAGAAAGGACGCTTAGAAAAGGTCGGTCCCTAAAGCTGCACACTTCGATGGCGTAGAGCTTCACCACGGCTGCTGGTGCATTATTAAGTAGAGAGGAAATAATTTTACAACCAGAGTCTAGGGTTGTTCAAAGAACACCTGCTATACCCGTGGCATCAAGAGTCAGAGAGTGATGCTCTGTTTTCTTTGCCCCGTGTTAGGCCGGCCTCCTTAAGCGTAGATGGCCAGCGGTGCCG